TAATTGATACTTTGAATCGTGGCCAATTGTTGAAACCCTCATTTTCGGTCGGTTGGAGCTTACGCTAGGCCTCAACTTCACATTTACAAGTGTACGTGTGGTCAAAATAATAGGAGTGCGACATTCGACAATGTTTCTTTTGTTGAATTAATGTTCATTAATTTTTTATAAAAGTATAGCTCGTTCTATAAAAACAACAATTTAAATCCAAATCTAAATGTTTGTACGAAAAGTAGAAAAAATCTACAGATTTCAACAAAATGGCATCAAAGCATCAATTTTGTTTAATCACAACTAAAAAATCCGAGTATGCAGTTTTATAGCTTAATTATCTTAAATATGACTTTTGATTTTTTTTTTGCTGGTGAAATCACAACTCACGGAGTTGCTATGAGACAAAAAAATGTTTGCAGTTTTACCATAAGAGATGCATTTTCAGACAAAAGTACGTATTACAAAACTTGAAAAATGCTACAGTGGATTTTCATTTTGAACCGAACCGAATCATTTTTTGGAGTGGTTTTCGGTTGCGTTTTAGCACTTCAAAACAAAAAAAACGGTTCGGTTCAAAGATCGAAAAAGGCCCGGTTCGGTTTAAAAACCAGTTCGGTTCAAAACCGGTTTGCAGCCCTGTTAAAACGCAAAAAAAAGAATATAAAAAAATATGTTTTTTTTTTTACCCTCTTAACCATGTTTTACAGCACGATCTGGACACCAAAATCACGCGACACAAATTATTTTACAAAAACACAAGCCTGAGCAAAATATCAAAATTATTTTGATTTTAGCGCAATAACTGCAATTTAGTACAAACAACTTCATACATCGAAGCAAGCCCGAAATTACGCGATACTTTTGTGCGGTTCAGGGGCCCCATAACAGCGACGTGTGCAAAGAAATTTCGGTTGTATTTCCTTTATGAGTCACCAGATCAAACTTATAAGTATCTAAGAAAAAAAAATATTTGCCTTTTAAACTATGATGATATTATTTATAGTTTTCAAAAAATAATTTCTGCAAACCAAAGGTATCAAAATGGAGCATTTGTGAACAAAAAGTATCAAATCTTAAAATTTAGAATAAAAGCATCAAAAATTGTACAATTATATCGAAATGGCAACGCTGCTGACGCTTTATGTAATTTCCCAGTGGGAATTAGGAGTACGTAATAATACCTTATTAGCAACTTACTCTTCACCTGGCAGTCATTACCATTTCCCTGCCGAACGTCCCTTACTTTTACAAAGGCATGGCCGCCTTATGTAAGTAGGAATTTAGAATGTACATTTGCTATCAAACATACTTCTGAGTCGCTTTACAAAGTAAGTTACGTGTAATGCAGAGCAGTCGCTCGGAGTAGTTCGGTGTTTGGAAATAACTTCGGCTGCACGTTATTTTGCAACTGACAACGTAATGTGTCGCCGGAGGTGTTTATTTTGTGCTTTACTAGTAGATTACGCTGGTCATGATGACAATTTTGGTACTAAAAACTGAAAGAAAACATGGCTTACCTCGTAAGGTGCTTACCTATTTTCCCAGTGGGTTCTTTTCTTCCAAAAGATGTGTGTGTGTATTTGATGATACACAACGTGTAAAAGGTTTTTGCCTTCTCCTTGTCTATCTCACACATTTCATAATTTGTCGTTCTAAGCAAACCTCGTATTTTCAGGACAACCTTCTCACCTGACAAAGCTTCAAGGGGCAGAGAATGTGTATTTTTTTTGCTTTTTAAGAAACGAACAAAATTTTTTCACCGTTTGTCTTTATTTAAGAATGGAACACGAAAAGAGAAAGTTTATTAAAAAATGTTATTCATCGCGTCATAAATTACATAACATTTTATAATAGCATAACTTTATTTTTTAAATTTAAATAGTATGTGTGGAGAACAAAGAAAACCATGTAGCTCATAACCCTATATTCGCGTATGTATCTGCACCAGGCATTCACCTTTTTTATTCAAGCCGGTATCAGTGATCGGACTTAATAAAAATTCTGTGTGGTAGATTCTGGAAAAAAAATGTGGTAGATTTAGAAAACATGTGGTAGATATCAGGTTTCGTACCAAACTTTTTACAAGGATTAAAAAAAAATCTGCAAGGTTTCACCTAAACTGCAAAACTTTTTAATTCGAGTCTATAGAAAAAACGTTTAACTTGGGTTTTGCTGAGTTTGACAATCCTCAAGTAAAAGTACACAACGCCTTAAAAACTTAAGCTGCACTCTAATGTGCTAATACTTTCACAAAAATCGCCAATTTCTTACATTTTCTTTATTAGTTTTTTTATGAATCATATATTTTGCAATTTAACACAATAAAATCACGTTTCCCGTCGAATAATTTAAAATTGAGAAATTGAGAAAATTCGGCTTTGTTTACTTTTACTTGAGAAATGTCATCGCCGCGGGGAATGCGAAATCTTGTATGCTATTATTCTTGTTATTAGCGATACGAATTTCGATACGATATGATACCTTATCGATATCTTTGCCATTCGATACCGATACTTTTTACTTTTTACGAAAGTTTTCAAACGATATTTTTTTGGAATCGAGAACCAGAACCGTTGTATCGTATCGAATCGTAAATGTACATTACAAAGTGTAAGTGGATAATGATACATTTGCATGGCAAAATATAAGAAAATAAAATGAAAATGTCAAAACTAAACTCTGGCAATTGGGCCAAGACTATTTGTATAAAACTTTTTTGTAGTAATATTTAAAATATTTAAAGTTAATTTTGCAAATTCCAAAATGTAAAAATGTAATGTAAAGCTGGAGCTTTTTTTTATCAGCCGCAGTATCTGACGTGACGCTACCTTACTAAAATTTCTATTGAAAGTTATACATTAAACAAAATTTTAACGCAAATAAAACATGAATTTCAGCCTTAGCTTCTGTACCATTTCTTGCAAATCTATTTCGTACTATAACCTTACTCACATTGGAATTTATATATATGGATATATTTTGCACTTTAAAGCGCAGAAATGTGTACTATCTTAGGTTTGTATGTGACGCGCCTTCAGTGATGTGCTTATTAAAGTGCAAAGTGTTAATTCTTTAATAGAAAATTACACCAATATTCAGATTTAATTTTTTGAATTTTTTTATAAAAACATAACAAGGTAGAACCGTTCTCTCAATTTGTCGGCCATGATCTTTTTGTGAAGTTTGCCAGCATTTATAAAAGTGAAAATAAAAAATTTAAATCTTTCGAAATTGTTGTTGCTTGAGATTGAAAATGAAAATGTGTGTGTGATTTTGTGAGTAAATTTAAAAATTAAATTGCTTAAAAAAACGTCAAGAATTTTAAAAGTGCGGTTCTACCTTACTATATTTTTATCCTGATTATAACTACTCAAAAATGCGAAAATGTGGTAGATATCAGATCTTGAGTGGTAGATGTGGTGGATGCTCCGAAAAGTGGTAGAAGTCCGATCACTGGCCGGAGTCATGAGTAATTCCATTTTAAACAAATTTAAGAACCAATTAACGGCCACCACCGTCAATGGTAAAATTATAATTAAGTTGCCGGAACCATGGATGACATACACAGCATAAATCGATGGTTGCGTGGAAGAACGCCCGGTTTCAGAATTTAATTGAAAAACACCCTATGTTGTTGTTGTTGTTGTAGCAGCATACAAATTCCCCCAAAGACTTTTTGGGGAGTGTTGCTGGAGTGACAGTCCTTGGCCAGATATAAATCTGGGTCGTTCCGGTTACGTAGACCCGACTGTCGTGGGAACGAAAAAAACACCCTATCTCAAAATTCGGTTCAAAAACGCCCTATCTCACTTCAAAATGTATTGAAAATATGCTGATATAGGGCGTTTTTGAATGGTGTAAAGTAATTATTTATGAATTAAAAATTTACATAGACAAAAATTATGCTTTATTTTATTTTTTTAATACTTTCTACAGATTATCTAGTGAAA